GGTGATTAGTCTTGTTGTATACCTACCTTGAAATAAAAGTTTCTTGACGGCACACAATGAGGCTGATTAGCGTAATGATTTATAAATCGGAAATGCGCAATTACATCACGAAATTCATCCTGAAACTTGCTCTCAGGGTTAGGAAGGCGACTGAAGGTATGTTCCAATCGAGTCCTTCTGTTGTTTTTAAGAAAGAATGTGGCGTGATGTGCCTTAGAAAGGAAATTTCCCTTTTGATTTAATTAGGAGAGGTTGTCACGAAAAATCAAACATTCACCGGCAACAGTCAAAAAATCGAATTGGCTCATATTGTAGTATTAGCTAGGCCAATAGGTAAAACAAACCAAGACATATATAGTTTGTTGAGAAATTCTTTTGTTTTCGTGAAAATTGATAAAACTCAATTTACGCATAATTAGCGTCATTCGAAGGTCGAATTTAGCCCATTTTGGAGGCCTCATTTGTACTTGTAAAAGCAGTGAAAAACTTTATTATTCCACAGAATTTTAGAACAATGCCTCCCCTATATTTTCACAAAAAGTAGAAAAATCATTTAAATTTGAAATAAAATACGGATTTTTCTATTTACTTAAGTGCCGTGTGAAAAGTAGGGTAGCTTCAAAAAATTAGTTTTATGTGTGCTAAGTCAGACAAACGTTTAATATTTGAAATACGAGAAGTGGAAATGATAAGCTTACCGCTTGTAGAGTTTTTTCTGGTGTTTTTGTGCTGCTATGTATACGAGGGTTTTAAATTCATAGAAATTTCGCTCTTCGGCAAAGTCGGCAACACAAGAGAAAAAAACCGATTTTGTTTATCATTTGGAGTCCGTGGTAATAATGAATGCTTGGATGATATAAATAACGTCTTCAAAGTACTTGCAATACAATAGAAGTTGTTTTTGTTCTCGCCGAAAGTATTCGTTTTGAAAAAATGAGTCGAAATGGTTGTCACTGCGTGACTTATGTGTCGCGCAATTGTTAGATCTATATTCCTAATAAGCAGGTGGTTTGAAATTTCTTAAATCAAAAAGTTGCAAGAAATTTTTTATATGAAATCCAAATAAGAGGAATGAGAGGTTTTGTGTTCAGATAAAAAAAATTTTTTTTTAAACTTGTCACTACTTTTTGGCAATTAGCAATAAAACGTAACGTCACAGTTAATTTCATCTGATAAACTTAGTGGGCAACAAGTAAACAACTGAGTTTAAATATTTTGAAGAATGGAAATTTGTTGTTCATTTGAATCTCTTGTTGTGGATGATTGTGGCTACAATCCAAAAGACAGAATAGGAGATAGGCGAATAGTGTCTTTGCTGTTATGTGACAAGGAAATTGCAGGGCATTTGGCTCATTTTTTAATCACTGGTGTGTTCACCGAGTATGACTTGATATTGAGTACAGCAGCCGTTTTCCAACGACCCAACGATGTTGATACATGGACAATATGCCCACTTGATTGCTTGGATGGACTCGAGGGGGAAAAACTAAATGCAGAGTGCCAGCAACTATTTCCAGGCATAAAGCGAAGAAGCTTCCCAAAGCAGACAGTGGGTTAGGGAAGAGGATTCTCAGTTAATTTTCCACGAAACAGGGTGTCTTATTCCGGTTGGTTCAGGTAATTATTCTGTTTGCTTGCGATCGCGTTTGATTCCTGTTTTATTAGTGTTGTACTTCTTGATGGCACGCGCACGATTTTCTTATACTTGCTTTGCGACAGCAATTGATTCTTGATGTTCTCGTTTAAATTTTTGCGTTAGGAATTTGTGCGTGGCTAGCCAGATTGATCTCCTCGCGCATGCCTAACATTTGACCGCTGGTTTCAGTTGTTGAGTCCTTGGAAAATGATGTGAAATTCATGATACAAGCTCAGTCTAAAAATATGAGTGATAGCGTCATTTATTCGACGTAACCCTTACATAACTCTAAATGATAAATTTAATGAGGTGCTATGTTTTCGTCCATAAACCTACACTTAAACTGACTTACCGTATTTTATATTTGGTCTCTATTTCAACCCCAAACTATAGTTACCAGCACGAATCGACCCTAGTTTTGATTTCAATACAGATTGAGTGCATCCTCTACCATCCCGATTTCGAAAATTATTGGGTATTTTACACAACCTTAACAATTTGTTTTGTTAGTTTGTTTGTTGTTTGTTAACGACTTCACCGGGTGTGACTAGACCCGGAAGGGTTAATGCGAACGGAACACAAAGTCCATGCGAGGCATCACCCCTTCCCCCAATTAACCCCCAGTAAACCCACCCATCCCACCCCAGGGGAGGACATCCATCACACACTAATCTCGTGCGTGGGAAATTAANTTTAAGTTTTTTCATCTGCAGTCGCCGTGATTGCAAGTATTGGCGTCCCTTAAACAGATAAAACGAATAAATTAAACGTAATCAAAGTAAAGAATGACTTCAGCGCCTTGGTCAGGAAATCAATTAATGCAATCGAAAGACTCCAAAAATAAGTAAACAGGCACGGCAACACAGACTTAAGCTTTTCGGTGAATGACTATAGAACTTGACTCTCCTTGTTTACAAAAGGATCTGATCTGCGACAATTTCCCAAACGGCTCACGGAAAGCAACATTTGCACCGAGTTTTGCCTCAGACCTGTGAACGATCATTGAACAAGTGAGAAACAATTTAGTTAGAAGTATCCCCAATAGGATTTGTTAGAAACATAATACCTTTTTCCAGTCCACATCTCAACAGTATGGGACTCATCCACCACAACTGCGGCCAACTTTCTGTCAAGAGAAGAGCAGTTATCTTTCATAATGTCGAGGAATCGTTTCTCCATAACTGTCACAGCCGAACCGAAGATTAGCTGAAATTTTGCGGCACGCAACTCGTCTTCCGAGACATCCTCTGTGGAAGCCGCCGGGATACCCATACTCCCAGCCTCAGCAATTTGGTCTTGTATGATGCTTTTCAAAGGACAAATAATCAACACATTTGCCGCTCTTCCCCTTCAATCGATGCAGCAACAGCAAAGAGTTGGAAAATAAGACTTTTGCCGTATCCTGTCGGAAGAACCGCGAGCACATCTTCTTTCTTAAGTAAATAGTCCACAGCATTACGCTGTTCGGGCTTCAATTGCAGCGTAAACTTCAAATTATTTGATAAACGGTCACAAGCCTCGCGAAGAACAGCATCGCTTCTTTCCGCCATTTTAATTTTTGTCTCTACCGGAACTGAAAACTAAGACTTACGTCATGAAAAATTAAAATCAACCAATCAGTGCTTTGCGTCCAAATTTTGGACGCAGACATTCGATATTCGGAGACTTGCGTGCAGGCTCCCCTTCCTGTGTCCCCACGTCTGATTGAACGGGGAGCCTGTGCGCAGGCTAGCGTAATGTTGACCAAAATTACTTGAAGAATTGGTCCTAGAAGATTTTCAAGCTATCTCTCTAAAAAAAAAGTCCTATTACAAATCAATTTGCTACAAAACGGCAATAGTTCCTAAAGAGTCAACACAATTTTCGTACTACAGTGTTGATTACTGCATGCGAAAAGACTTCCCATATTTCCCTACTACTTGGTTACAATTCCTTAAAATAGTAGAGTTTGATCAACGAAGACCAGTTGAACGTTTCTCATTGTTCACTGAGTTCATAAATCTGAACATTCACAAACTGAAACATTATTCAGGCTTAGGTGCGCCATCCACAAACAAAACTATAAACCCGATTATGACTATTTTGTTGCTTACTACAATGCTGTAGTATATGTCATAAGTCCACAGTGACGTCAACGCCAATTAGTCAAGTTTCAATATGACTGAGATAGTAAAGCTTTAACACCCGATTAGCTTTTGTTTTGTGGCGTAATTCAAATGTATAACGTCTTTCAGAAGTCCAGAGTAACGTCATCTCCGATCAAAACAAATGCTGCCCAGTCTTTCATTCTGTATCTCTTGGATTCTCTCATCCACTTCATGGTCTGGTGAAGAGCTTTACTAGCACTCAGTTTATCGTTCTTGAGATGTCCATAGAAACAAATCATGAAATCTTTCGTGGCTCGGTCGTCCACGGCCCACAGGGAAACCAGCACTGAGCGAGCTCCCGCCGCCAAAAAGGCGCGAGAGATACCCACAACTCCCTCTGATTGCATAACCTGTCCCTTACCACTGTGACAACAGCTGAGTACAACCAGCTTGGCTCGAGTACCAACTTTAGCGACGTCTTCCATGGTCAGCATAAAGTCGTCCTTTCTTAATTTTCGTCTGGAGGGACATTTCGAGGCAAGAGCAATCTCTCCTCTTTCTGCATCACCGTGGGCCGCAATGTGGATCAAATTTACCTCCTGGATTCGTTGGAGGACCTGCGTTTTGGTGGCTTCATCTCCTACCGTAGCTGACACACCCAACAACTCTGCAATTTCCATTGCCTCTCTTCTAGCTCCTGGCAAAGGTGGTAACATTGTTTGTGGAGGAACAGTGGGATTACCCACAATCAACGCCCCAGTTACACTGTGATAGTCTTTAGGACTGTCTTGGATGATCCTTAGTGCTGTAAGTGAAGGACTCAGGCGGATTTGGAAGGTCTCTGAAAGGAATTTGTCGTTGTTATCACATAATGCGCAAAATGGCACCATAAATAATTCGCCTTCCGGGATAATGATGATTTGCCGACGTTGAATAAGATCCGCAACAGGGGCGAAAATATTCTTATACCACTGCTTGACAATGGAATCCTCCTTTTTTTCCCCTTTTTCTTCATCTTCTTCAAAGAGACGCTGCCTGCGTTTGGATTTTACTTTCTCTGGCGATAGTTTTAATCCATAGTATGCTGACAATGAGCGATCTTCGCATTCGGACACAGATTGTCCTCTTTGAAAACTCGTGAGTAAGTCGATGGGGATCTCTGCCATTTGGAATTCCCAAGACCTAAATTGAATTTCTGCATCCTCCAATACCCAAGAATATAATTTCCTTTCACCAACAGGCTTGGCAAGGAAGAGAATCGTACTTTGGTTTTTCATTGAAAGATCCCTGATATTATTAAGATAAAATTCTTGTGAGTTCTTCCTTTGGATACCATATTTCTCGGACAGCAAGTCTCCAAGAGCTCGTGCACGTCCCCGCTCTGCAGTACACAGCGCCTCAGAAAAATTTCCTTGACTTATGCGAAGAGAACATAAACACTCATAGCTGAGAAAAGTTTGGTTATCCAGAGAAAGTTTAAGTTCGTCCTGAAGCAGTTCGCGGTTCTTTTCAGCACAAGTAATGCTCTCAGAAAAGCAATCATGCGCCTTCTTTACCTCTCCATTGTTCCTGTAAGAGATCCCTAAGAAGTGGAGAGCCTCTCGTTCTCCTTCTTTATCTCCAATTTTTCTTGTTATCTTGAGGGCTTTCTGTCGAAGCTCCTTTGCTTTCTTCGGCTTTCTAAGAGCTTGGTAAGCAGATGCAGCATTAATTAACGTTGTCGCTAATTCATTTTCAGTTCTCATTTGTTGCATGATGGGAATTGCTAGGTTAAAGTTGTCTAAAGATTCTTTCAATCGACCGCAACACGTGTAGCAAAAACCAAGGCCTGAGTAGCTACTTGCCTCCATGTTTTTATCCCCAATTTCCTTCGCGATTTTAAGGGCTCTTTGAAAACACTTTTCCCCCTCGCAATAGTTTGCTAGACAAACATATTCATCCCCGAGACCGCGGTAGGCGTTTGCTTCTATTTTCCTGTCCCCGGTAGTCTGACTACATTTGATGGCTTTCTCAAAACTATTAACCGCTTCCTCTCTTTGGCCGACTGCTTTGTATAAGTTCCCCAACAAACTTGAGGCTCGACCTATTTCGAACATGCCTCCAGTTTCTTCGAGGATTTTTACCGCTTGCAACTGGTGTTCCAGGGCTTCTGCGTGACGACCTAACGAGGTATAACAAAGGCCAAGGCTGTGATGAGCTTTTCCCAATGTTGTTTTTATTCCACAGCTCTTCATAATTTCAAGTGACTTTCTTAAATAATCCAGTGCTTCATAGTTCCTGGAGATGGTACAATAGGTAGTACCGATGTTATTGTAACAAACACCTACATTCTTCTCATTACCGTGTTCTGCCATCAGTTCGAGTGACTTGAAATTGCATTCCAGAGCCTTGTCATAATCGCCCATGTCTTGATAGATCATTGCGAGACATTGGTATGACTCTCCCTCCGCTTTGTATTTGCCGAATCTATTGGATATTTCCAGGGACTCTTCTAGGCATCTGATTGCTTCCGGGTAACGAGCAAGGCTCATGTGTGCGGAACCAAGCTTACGAAGTATTTCTCCTTCCATTTGTTTGTCTTTGATCTCTCTGCAAATTTTCAGCGCGTCATTGAGACACTCGATTAATTTATTCGGCTTACCCAGATTATAATAAGAATAACCCATTGCTGTGTAGGCTTCTATTTCCATCTGTTTTTCCCCATTCTCTTTTGCAATTTGAAGTTGTTTTCTTAAAAAGAAAATCGACGGAGCGTGTTGACCCATTGAACAGTGCAAATCAATGATGCCTCTATATGCTTTTACTTCCCAGTCTTTATCCCGAACTTCTTTGCTGACTTTTAAAAGTTGCTGATAGCTTTCCAATGCTTCCTTGAACTCATTTATACTACTGTATGAAACTGCTAGTTTGTAATGAAGGGCAATTTCTAGGTGGCTACAATTTTCGACTTTTCTTCGTCGCATCAAAACTTGGGCTTCCTTGAACACATCAATAGCTTTGTGATACAGATGTCTGTTGAACAAAAAGTCTGCCACCGTGTAAGTTAGACGGAATTTCTCCATCTAGGAATTCTCCGTGTCTCTAGAAAAGGTAAAAGAATTAGTAAATTAGTCTTAACCACACCGGGAATTCAAGTAGTACTATATACTCTATGTAGTACTACTTGAATAATATACGTATATTAGTATAATATTATGCTTACAATTTTCACGCAATTTTCGTGTGCATGGGGGCTGGATTCGAAAAACAAAGAGAATATTATTTTATTCACATAAAACATGGAAAAAAACGTAAATTGAATTTCATTTCTTAGCGAGGGATCTTAACAGTTGAAAATGCAGTCCATAAATTGTCTGACTCAAGGTATAAAAAAAAGACTAGTGTTTCGTCAACACAATAAATTATTAACTTGATTTCCTGATTGACGTTGATTGACACTAAGTTATGCAATTAAGCCACGTGAATAAGTCTGCTTTCAGTTCAGATGTTTTAGATTCGAAGTTACGTTCATGTTTTGTTGACCTGTCGCGCTGACCGGTATTCTGTTATACCCTGATCTGTTATATCTGTTGCTGACCTGTATACCGTGAAACAATCCTACTAGACATCGCCAAAGAAGTAAGTTATCAGTGCTGTAATTCTAGCTAATAGTTTGACTCGTGTGTTTATGTATCAATAGATTCTGTTCAGTTTCTCAAATGTAATTCATTCTTTTCTCTAGATGGAATAAAAATATACTGGAATAAATTATACGATTTGCGTAAGCTAGATGGATTGCCTGTCTGGTTTATTGGAAGAACTAGCCTGCTTGCGGGTCGTAGTTTGTGTTTTCAAGCGCGAGATTCAGCCATATAGGACGGTTGGAAGATTTGGGACAAGTGACAAAGCGAGGGGAGGGAGGAAGGGGAGCAAAAACTACCTCCCCGAAAACCAATGATTTCCCATTATCCGCCCCTACACACTACACGATATCCCCACATGTACCACATTCTTGACGGATCAATCAAATGGAACGAAATGAAACCTTTTGTCTAAAATTGACATGTCCAAGCGTATCAAGTACCAAAAAAAAAGTGGATGGAACGGTTTTTTCGCCTCCTCCCTACTCACTCTCGCCTCGTCACTCGTACAGAGTCTTACGCTCGTCCAATATGGCGACTGAATATTCGCCGCGCCATAAATCTCGCACTTGAAGACACAAATACCCCCTGCAAGCAGGCCAAAAAAAGATTAAAGATCATTTGAGATAAATTGTTACTATGCCTAAAGAAGAGATTATAAATTGTAATCTACAGGCCTAAAGGAGTAACAGTCAGCCTCCGAGTGAAAAATCTCCATAGGGTTGGATGGAACACAAAAATAGCAATCTTGAGATTGAAAATCAAGACAGCAAATAGATTAGTGCACTCTGAAAACGCGTTCCCAGGGCCGGACTTCACTTCTTTCTTCTGAATAGGAGAGAACTTGGTGAGGAGTTATTGCTCGTTATTGAATGCCGATCCCTGGTTACCGCTTTGTGTACTGCGAGAAGGTGTAATCAGATCAAACTATTCATTAACTTCGCCATAGTTAGTAACTATGACTAACTATGACTTCGCCAAAATGCAAGCAACCGCAATCCAAAAAGGAAAAAGTAGCAGGGACCCCGCAACAGCATAGCCAGTTACAGCGGGGCCAGAATAAAAAGGAAAATAAGACAAGAGAAGGGGAGAAAGGAAACTATCAATCTACATGCAGCAAGTGAATAAAGGCTGATAGTTTCTAAAGAAACTGTTTGGGGCTGCGTCGTGGGGGTAACGAAATAATTTGAATGTATCAACAAAGTTGAAATGGTAAATTGGCCACCGTAACGATTACAAAAGCTGACGTTTCGAGCGTTAGCCCTTCGTCGGAGCGAATAGAGGAATTGTGGGTTGTGTGTGCTTTTAAAGGCAGAAAATGGAGCTACGTTATTGGTGGGAACATGGCAACGAGAAAAACA